TTGTATAGCAGAAGAAAAGTTAGCATTATAACAGAGTTTAGGATGACAAAGTTATTTGTTGCTAGAGATGAAATTAAGCAAGAAAAAACAATTTTATTATTAGCCTGAAAGATATTTTATGATTTATTATTAAGAAATATTCAAGATAATTTGCAGTTAGGTTATGAAATCAAGTTATATAAAGTACTGAATTTGTGAATAAACAAAGTTGAAGTTAAAAAGAAGAGGCAAGCTGCAGTAGCATATATGGATAATACAATATAGATAGCAAAGAGCAAAAAAGAGATGCAAGAAAATATTTAAATTTTACAAAGATTCTTTAAATTTTACAAAGATTCTTTAAATTCAATAACATTTAAATTAATAGTGCCAAGTCAAAGCTGTTGGTAGTTAACTCAGATACAAAAAAAATAAAAAGTCTGTTGTAATAAACAATTTTCAACTATAGGTTAAAGAGAAGCATACATTATCAAAAATGTTAGAGGTGTGTTTAAGTATAGAAGCAAATAAAAGTTTAGTTATTAAAAGGGTAAAAAGTATCATACAACATTTCATATGAAGCTTATAGTTTAAGAAGTTAACTATTAGTTAGTTAATATATATTAATAATATATATATAATACCAAAATTGATATATATATTGTAAATAACAAAGACATCTAAAGGGCAGCTAAATTACTTATATCAACCAGTAATTAGACTGATTAAAAACAAAATAGGTCTGCCATCAAAAATAGAAAATAGTACAATTATACATTAAGGTTTAGGAAAATGTAGAATATTAAGTTAAGAAATATTTAATAATTAGTTAATATTAATATAAAGAAAGCTAAATGAGCTAAATCAGATTGATAAAATAACAAAAATATAAGTAAAACAAGGCTTTGCTTTAGCAGGATTGATATTAGAAGAATTAAACACAACTTTGATAAGTAACTTAAAGAGGATTTGAAAAAATAATTTGGTTTATATAGTTATATGTAAAGCAAAAGAAATAGATATAACAATAAAGTCATAAGATAGTCTTTGGCAGGTTTATGATACAAGTAAAATTGTATATAGTTTAGTAAAAAGAAAACATTTAGAATGGCATATAGAAGGTTGAAGAAGTATAAAATATTTTTTATATAACAGTTAATTGATCAAGAGAACAAAAAAATAATTATATAGATGAAGTTTAAAGCATTATAAACAAGTATACAAAAAGGATAAAAAGCAAAATAGTTTGCAAAAATCAAACAGAAAATGATTATATAGATGAAGTTCAGAGCATTATGAACAAGTATACAAAAAGGATAAAAAGTAAAGTGGTTTGCAGAAATCAAACAAAAAATAATTACATAGATAAAGTTCAGAGCATTATGAACAAGTACACAAAAAAGGATGAAAAGCAAAGTGGTTTGCAGAAATCAAACAAAAAATATTAAGTAATCAAGATAATAAGACAGTCTGAGCAGAATTTCAGACACAAGATATAGACATCTTAACAATGTGAGCCATATGCAAGAGGTTAATATAAGATTAGAGAAGGTATAAATGGATGCTAAAAAATAAAAAGAATATGAATTTAATAATAGGCAAAGTAGTTAAAAAAAGAAAAAAAAATACTTATAAATCACTGAAATGCATCTAAGGTTAAAGATAAAAATTATTTAGTACTTGTAGAATAAGAAAAATGCAATTTGAATAATAGAAATAGCACAAGTAGTTGTTAGTATTAGGTTAAGAAAAAAGCAATAGCTGGTGCACTGTTAGCAATTAGATAAAAGAACAAATAGAAGTTTCCAGTTCTGTTATAAGAACTAAACAAATATAAAGAGAGCTATATAGAAGATAGCTTTAATAATAAAAAAGAAGTTGTAAATAAAAAATAAGAATATATATGTATAAGATTAGATATAAGAATTTAATAGTTGCTTAGAAAACTTGCTATTGAAGTAATTGAAAAAAAACATGAAATTAGAGTATACAAACTACAGTTTTTATACAAATAGGTCATTAGTAAGAAAGAAAAAGAATTGCAGAATAGGTACAAGTTGAATATATGTTAATAAAGATGAAAATAGTTTAATAATAAAAGAAAAATGAAAGTACCAAAATGGCTATTGTTTACAAAGGCAGAGTTAGCTGCAGTGTGAATAGTAGTATTAGTTGTAGCATGTAATAATAAAATAGTTATTAAATTAGATAATGCATCAGCAATTGCAAGTTTGGAAGAAGAGAAGCTATTATGTAATATTAGAGTGTAGGGTAAGAGTAAGAACATTAGATTATATAAAGATCAAAGACATATGCAAGTCAATAACATTAGGTTAACATTAGTTAAGATTAAAGCACATAGTGAAGTAGTATAGAATAAAAGAGCTAATAGACTTGCAAAAGAGGATGCATAACAAAGTAAGAATACAGATTTGAAGTTAAAAAAAAATTTGAGGTTTTCATGTATATTATTTTAAAAAGAGTTAGTAGAAGAAATACCAATAAAAAAGTTTGTCAAAATATTAACAAATATAATGAATAGTGCTGAATAGTAATGTTTAAGTGCAATAAAATAGCTAGAACCAAATGTGAATGCACAAAAAGATTGAAGACAGCTATAAAAAGAAAACAGAAATTTAACTAAAAATAAGTGTAAATCTCTAAAAGAAAGTAAGAAGATCTCATTTAGGATTAAGTGTATTACTGATAGTTTACTAATTCTTGATGTATTAAAAAAAAGAGCATCAGACTTGTATAATTCAAATATATGTAAGAAGTACAAGACAAAGAAAGAATCATCAAGACATTTGATCAGTTGTGAAGAATATGAGAACTATTGAAATAATATCAAAGAATTAGTATATTGGTAAGTATAAAAAAAGTTTACCAAGTTAAACAAGAGTAATCTTACAAGACTTAATTTAAAAAGAACATTAGTTGATAAAACTGAAGATAAAATTAAACATAAAGAGGCAAACATACATGGCTTATTAGTTGAAAATATTTTTAAGAAGTTGTATGCTAAACAAGTTTTATAAAAAGATATAAAGCAGAATATTAATTATGTTTAAAGAAGAAATTTGGTGGCAAAGATGTAGAACAGTAGTTAAATAAAAGGAAGAAAATGGAATAACATTAAAATTAATATGAAGAAGAGTCAAGGCAGTTGAAAATAATAAATGCAGTATAAAGAGAGTTAAAAATAAAAAATTTTTAGAAAATAAGATCAAAGTGATAAAGAACAAAGAAAGAAAGATAAAGAATAGATAGTTGTTTATAAAAGGTGTTGATAAATAATACAGAATGAAAATAATCTATTTTGGTTTGGTTTTTGACAGAGTTGACAAAGTTTTTCAATCTAGAAAAAGATTGGTATAATGAATTGAATTTAGATGCAGTTTTTGTACTTGAATGATGCTGGGCTTGTAATTTTAAAAGATGAATTACTGGAAATAAATAATGGTTTAGTTAGTAAAATTTGTATTAAAGCTTCAACAAGAATGTCAAAGAAATAAAAAAAATAAAAAAAATAAATTTAATTTTTATTTTTATATTGATAGTTTAGTAATATAACTTAGTATATATTAATATTATATAGACATTAAATAGACTTTAATACAAGACAACAACATTGTATATAGGATATTATTTTTTATATCTCCTAAATATTATTTGTACTATTTATAATATAAATTTCTGATTTTCATATGATCATATAATAATCATTATTATTTAAAATTTAATTGAATAATTGCATTATACAGATCACAGATGTTATATGATCATCTATATATAATGTTTTTTACTTATATAAAAATTCAAGTTTGAAGTTTAGTATACAAAGTGTACATACTATTTGATTATTAGAAAATATATATTGAAATGCTCTAAATCAGCTAATCTGTTACTAATCAAAGGTTGGCTTCATGTAATGTTTAAACTGTTTCTGGTAAAAAAAACATGTAGATTTGGTGAGTGATTTAGATTTAGGTCTGGCTTATCTTAGATAGTCAACACTACATTGAAACTATCACTCTACTATTCTGGAATTGCAGTATTCTATACTACTTCAGAATATACTGTACTAATGGAGTAAGATTTGTTAATATTATAAATAAGAATTTATTATAATGATAGTTCTCTACAGTCACTCACAGAAGAACCTTTATTTGATTTTTGTAAGGTAGGTTGTTTATTAATTTCTTATGTCAAAATCTGCCTTATTACTAAGATGAAATTACAGGTTATTTATAAGCAAAATTCTATCTCTTGTTAGAGTGCTGATATCTATTATCATGCTTATAATGATAATAATGCTTATATCATATATATTGATTATATTGATTATAATTAATATATGCAATATATACATTATAATCATTATAAGTACAGGATTTTAACTTTGATGTGAGCTTCCTAGCTGAAGCAAAATTATGACTGCTGATCATGTGACAATGATCTTACAACAAAATAGGTGATTTATTGATTACATATTTCAGGTCTAACAGTATATACATATTGCATATTTGCATAGTAAATTTTTTTATATTTGTCTCATTATATCTTAAAACTAAAAACTTACTTGTTTAATTTTACATAAATTAAAAGTTGTAGAACTTACTAAGGCATATCTAATAGTAGTTAAATTATCCAAATTGGTCTAGTAGATGCTGTAATATTATCAAAAATGCTTGGCTGACTATGTAAAATTCTATATAAAATTCTATATAAACAATAATCTGTTTATATAGAATTTTACATAGTTAGCCAAGCATTTTTTAACAATATCTCAGCATCTACTAGACCGATTTGGATAATCTAACTGCTATTAGATGCGTCTCAGTGAGCTCTACAACTTTCAATTAATCAACTTGAACTGTAAACTTAGTACTAAAAAATGTTTTAGATAGGTGCATACTGCATTTTATTCTATATAAATTATATAGTAATTTTTGTTCAAATAATTGGTAGATCATTACTTAATTTTTATTTATGCATATATAAGCATTGTATTCAGGTTGTCAACAAAAAGCACAATGCCTTGCTTTGTATTCTAACAATTCAAAACTAGAAGGATTTCTTTTAGTTAAGTTAGCATTCTGATAATTAAGGGCTTTAGATAAATAACCTTTGGTATAAACTATATTAGAATTTAGTAATGTTATTGATAGTTTGTCAATTATATTTCCAATATATCTTATATTGCTTATTGCTAAAATTCTGGCCATTCTTGATAGCTTTGTTGTAAATCTTACAGAAAAGATTGCAGAGTGTCTTTATAGTAAGAACTAATTTTTTCAATTTGTAGTATTAGTAAAACTCCTGGAATCTACTAATGCTTATAGATATTGTTAAGCATTAAACTTTAGTCATTCTTCAAATGCTAAATAAAATAAGCACAAGACAAGTCTATAGTTTTAAGAAAGACCTAGTACATAGTAATAAGGGCTCTTGTTTAGTAGCATATTTTATTTTTTGATACTAATTGTTTATTTTTTTTAATACAAAGTTTGACACTTTACTTTAATATTAATATACAAAGCATTGTTAATAGCAAAAACTAAAATGCAAATATGCTTTAATGCAATTATAATATCAAATTCTTTTTTTTGGTTAGCTATTGCTAGAGATATTATTGTATAAACATAATAAAGGTTTTCTATAAATATCTGTAAATATGCCTTTAATATTGCATATGAACTTTCAATATGAGTGGTTACAGTAGTTTTCAAATAAAATAATTTATTTGTTCAAGCTTTTACAAATCTTTTTTTTTATACTATTTAGGTTTTTTGAAAGTAGAATATCATGCTAGATTTATTAATATAAGTGGAACAAAAATTGTTCCACTTTGTATTAAATTTATTTTTTATTTTTAATTGAACTATTTCATTCTATTTTGAGAAAAAACTTTGTCATTCAATGTCCTCTTTCTTTTCATTTTTTTGAAAACTGTAACTTGCACTTTTTCAAAACATTCTTGCTAATATATCATATGCAAAGCAAGTTTGTTAAATTTGGAAAGATCATTTTAAGAGCATTTATAAGTGCAACCTCTTTATTGGTTACAATAATATTGGGTTTTTGTATTTTATTAAATATTCTTATAATCTGTGTTAGGGGCTATTTGTAGACCTCCACTTTTTTATTTTTTAAAAAACAAAACAAAAATAAAAGGTAATATTAAAACTAATTATACCTACAACATTTAGTAATAGTATTTTGAATTTGTTGGTTTTGTAAATACAGTAGCCAACAAAAGTAACACCTGATTTTTGATTAAAAAATAAAATTTTTATTTATTTAATTTTGGTTACAAATACATTAAATTTTTTTTTATATCTATTTAATACTTTACTGAGTGACCTCCTATACTTGTGATAATATTAATTCTTCATGTCATTAAGTCTGCAACTACACAAAGAACTAACATATCCAAATTTGACTATACTTCTTGTAAGGCCATTTTAAAGTCAGATTTATTTCTTGAGAAGTCATCATGGTTCTGAATATTGTTCTTTACAATTTTTCAAATATTTTCTATAGGGTTAAGGTCAGAGGATCATGAGGGCAATTTATATAATCAATGTTTTTCAAATTTAGCCAATCTGACATCTTATGAATTAGAGCATTGTTATGTTAAAAAATCAGATGAGAGATGTTTAACAAATAAACTGCAACTAAAAACAGTATAAGATAGTTGTTTAACACCTTGGTATAAATGTTTTTATTAATTATTTGCTTGAGACCTTTGTAATTATTAAAAAATACCATAGGACCTTTGATATTATTCATAAAACATGACCAAACCATTACCAAGACCCTTTCACTTCTAAAATTTAGTTGCAAACACTTATGTTTGTATCTCTTATCTGCACAACATCATACATGAACTTGTCAGGATTGTTTACCTATTTTTATACTCATTTTATCTGAAAAAATAATATCTTTCCAATAGTAAGCATTCTTATTTTTATTTTGATTACACTATTCCATATGTTCTTTTATATTGCTACTTAATAAGAAAGGTTTTAAGGCAGCAATGTAAGAACAAAGTTCAACATTGTGTAAGGTCCTAGCTACAGTCTGTACACTGCATTGAAGGTTTAAATTCTTTACAATTTTGAGCAGTGGCACACATCTTTTCTTCAATGCTTTTTTTACTTTGACAATCTTTTTTTGCTTTTTTAGGATGGGGAACATCCAGACCAAGATAAATTCTTGATTTTTTTGGTCCTCCTGTATTTTTGTAAAAACTTTCAGACTGTTGTTGAATTATACTTAACTTGTTGGCAACTTGTTTATCACTTATTATCTTGATATAAGCAAGGATCATTCTTTTCTCTTTTTCAGTCATTTGTTTACATAGTATTTTTATAAAAAAAAATTTTTTTTGCATGTGCTTGGTTCCTTTGATATCAAGAAAGCAAAAAATAAAAAAAAATTTGTCACAAAATTTGTAAGAATAGAGTATGCACAGCCCTTTTATTTGCTTACATGTGATGATCTGCAAATCAGGCATTACTTTTGTTGGCTACTGTACAATCTATAAGTATTTCTGTTAGATATTAATAACTAAGAGAATTTAAGTTATTATATATAAAAAACAAGCAAATAACTAAACCAGCATTATTACATTTATAAAATATAAATAGTCTTCTTGAATTTTATCTACTAACATTTAAATGGAAGTTTAACTAACAAGATTCAGTTGTCATAGTTATGCATATGAATTATAAATATTACTGTTAATAACTAGTGCTGATGGATCATTTTGTTAAAATGATAACACAATTTCATAGAGACTTAAGTTAGCAATAGTCATCATTGCAAAATTTTCTATTTGTTTTTTAGTAAGTTTGCAGGTAATGGGATGTTCTAACATATCATTAGAGAGTTTATGATTATATGATGCATTATAAATCTTTAAATACTACTAATCACTATGTCAACTAGCATACAATTCAAAGAGGCAGTCAATTAATCTAGTGCTTTTTTTCCTACTATGTGTTTCTTTAGTAAAACTCAAAAAATTATTATAAACACCACCCTAATTACAACATATTGATAGATTTTTTAATTTATCATGCTTATTCTTCTGTTCTTTTTTTAATTAGAGCATAACCTTAAAAGTTTGTGACTCTTTGTGTGCTTTGGAAAAGCTTATTGGCTTTGTTGTATACTTTAGAAGAGGAAAAAGTATAATTTTATCTAATAATAGCTAATTATTTTAAAGAATTTATTGATATAATATTACTTTATCTTAATTTAATATTTTATTTACAAAGATGAAATATAAGTATACAAAAAACAAGAGTTACAATAACAAAGTTTAAAGAACAAAAATGTTTACAATTTATTATAGCTTTTAGAAAAAATTTAATATTTTATTTACAAAGATGAAATATAAGTATACAAAAAACAAGAGTTATAATAACAAAGTTTAAAGAACAAAAATGTTTACAATTTATTATAGCTTTTAGAAAAAATCTTTTTTAAAAGTAAAGCTATGAATATTTTATCAAATTATTTCTGATTTATAATTACTTATATCTAAATTCTTTTTATATTTTAGATGTACTTATGAAATATTTTTTATTGCTTTCTACTAATTTAGTATACATCTTAGAGCTTTAGGCTATGTAATCAGTCTCTTCATTTTACTTTTCTTTTTTACTTTAAGGCATTTGTTCTTTATTGTATAATCATAGCATTAATTTTATAATCAAAATTTTTTTTATATAATCCTTTTTAGAGCCACATGCTACATTCTTTTAGGATTTTTTATTTTACTTTTTTTTTATTTCTCTTTAAAAGAATATGAAATTCAGTTTAGAATTGCTATAGTTAGTACTGGCATTTGGACTATGTCCAATAAAAATTTCATTTAGGCATGAATGTATAAACATATAAAATTTTATATGTTTAAATTTATTCAAATAAAATTTTATATATTTAGATTCATCTAGTTTTCAATACTAGAACCATAGTAATTTTTATAAATAGTTAATAAATTTAGTAGCTGATTTAAAATTTTGTTACCTATTTTTATATGCATTTCTATGACTCATCTCATAGCTATTTCTTATAGTCATATCTTATACTTTTTTTAGAATTTATTGATTTTTAACCTTTTAAATTTCTTGCTAAATTTTATAAACATTATTATAATCTATATACTATACTTTTTTAAGATTTATTACTAATTAAAAAACTGCAATGTTATATCTTTTTAGGTCATATTAATTTGTACTACATATAATTTTATTAATATATTTTAGACATATTGTTATAGTCTACTTTAAAAGCTATATTTTATACTATTTCAAGATTCTAAGATTTAGTTTATTTTTTAATTTTGGTTAGTGCTTTCAAATTTGATAGTAATTATCATATTAGGAGAAGTTATATGATTATATATATTAGAAAATATTTGGCTATTGGGTAGTTAAAAATGAAATTAGAACTAAGAATTGTTTAACAATATCAATACTGTATATAGATTAGTGTTTATAATAATAAAATAATAAATTAGAAATTACTTAAAGTATATATTTATATGCCTAAATTATTTTTGAAAAGGATTTTTAGCAAAAAATTTTGCCATTGCTAAATTTTTTAGATAAAACCCTCTGAAATAACTATACTATATTATGTATTTTGATGAATAGAATTCAAATTAATTTTGGCACTATATAAGACTAATTTTGGTTGCCTAAATACTATAATTATATATCTATTGAAATAGTCTAAAAAATTGATTTAGATATAGATTTATTGAATTATAACATTTCTAGAAGAGGATATATGCAAGCTATACAATTGAACTTTGGTACTAATTATTATTTTATTAAAAATCACTCTTGTTTGGATAAATAAACAATTTAATTTTTATAAACATATTACAAATTTGTATTTAGTTATATGAAATATTATAAAGATATATAATAAAAATTTTATTTGATTTTTTTATTGTATTTGGTAGCACAAAGATATATAAATGTCTACATTATTGAAGTAGTTTTTTTTAATAGCAAAAGCATAAGCAATGTTAGTTTGAAAGTAAAAATCCATTATGATAGTAAATAATTAAATAGTTACAGATTTTCATTTTTAAATACTTATATTAAGAACTTTTTTAAAAAATATTAGTTAAGTTCTATAAGCTAGTAAGCATAATGTGTAATCAAAGAAAATTGCTCAACAACTTGAATTTTGAACTTTATTT